CTGAAAGCATCAGTACTTGACCTTCAGTTTTGCACTATGTATCTCTTCCCTGGGGAAGCCTTAGGTATCCCTGTGGATGAGTCAGGTTCCTCTGTTAGACTGAGGCTTCTCTTTTGGAGGCCTGATCAACGTTGTACTGTACTGATGTAACTATCTTCATGAAAGAACAATCCACGCCTTTCTCCTGACTAGCTGTGAGCACCCCAGTAACCAGCCTGGACCCTGGCTCACTGTAGGTGTCCAATAAGTAGTTGAAGAACTAACCAGATCAATTCTCAGGCCCATCTGAGTTTTCAAAAGGAGAACGATTTCACCTGGTAGTTTCAAACCCTCTGAGAGCACCGACAGCTAGGGGCCCAGGCTTAATCTCAAGAGAAGGAAATAGGATCAAAGGTGAAAGGCCCGGGGAATAAATAAAGCTGCATGTGGGAGGTAGAGAAGATGTCACCTCCAAACCCGGGGTTGCCAGAGGCCAAAATTTCACAACCCTCCCTCCGTGAGGAGGGATCCTCGTGCCAATTGGTTTAAGTCTTGGCCAAGATGGCATCCCATACTTCCTTTTTTATAACCCCGTCTCTCCTCCCAAAAACCTCCCCCTCCTGAACATTAATTTCACGTTGTGAATAGCATTTGGAGGGACTGGACTCTAACAACATCCAGAGTCTCATCAAAGTACAAAAGGGCACCTGACTCATCACAAATTCTCCCCAAAGGGTCTTCGGCTTACGTTTTAACAAAAGAGTGACATGGTAAATCGGGATTGTAGACTGGTTGCCACCAGACCTCCTCTGTAAAATAGGGAAATAACGGTGCTCACCTCAGATGGGAGAAAAGTTGCGAATGAGGGCGAGCAGTCAGTGCAGTGCCTGGCCGCAGTCGCAGGACTAGCAGTGACAGGGACCACAGCTGTTGTTCTTCTAACCTGTGGTGTGATGAGTCAGAAGGTCTCTTTGAATCGGGTGAGGGTGGGGCAGAGGAGGTGAGGAAGGAAAGTATCAAGAAAGAAAGGTACCCATTTAGTAGAGTACAGAAGGAGCTGGCCAATGAAGGGTCTCAAGTCCCCTCGGCCTCCTTGTTCTGGGTCCTACCTCTTGCCTCTTGTCTGAAGGTCCATCGTTCCATTATGCTTGCCTCTTTCTTCTTATAAACACCTGCTCTAAGGGACTAGCCTTATAGATTTGTTTATACTAACATGTAAATGACCGTTGGGGCTTTGCTCATTTGCATAAGGGGAAGGGCTTTCAGTTGAAATGAACACCATCGAGTGAGTGGGGGAGGCAGAGGGCTTTCTAAATGATTCAGAAAGCACAATGCCTATTCCATCTGGAAAACCAGCAGGTATTCTACAGTCTGGCTATGCCAGGGGGGCCAGGCCATTTTGGTTTGGTTAAACTGGCTGAGCAAATTCTGAACCCTCCATCCTCTTCCTGGAAGTAGGAAAGTAGTCAGGACCATGGTGGGGGGAGAGGCAGACAAGGGATGCTAGACAGAGCAGAGGTACACAGAGCAGGAAGGGATGACTCCCTGCAAATGTGCTTCTCGGGGAAAGCAGCACTGCCAGGGGGAGAGCAGAACTCTCTGCTTCTAAAAAGAATGACTTTCAAGGTAATGGGAAGTAAGGGGTTCTAGCCTTCTAGCTCTTTGGGGTACCCTCAGACTCCTTCCATGGGCCCTCCCGCCCCATGAGACATTGCAGGTCATGGCTGGCATTTTCAAGAGAAGCCCATCTCATGGGAAGATGCAGTAACCCACAGTCAACCTGGATACTGCCTGGGTCTCCCCGTCTGCCCTGCAGCCTGGTCCCAAAGTCCATAATCTGGACCAGATTATGATGGGGAGTCAGGGGTCGGGTGGAGAATTCAGGTTACCAGAGATGGTCAGCACAGTGATCGTGGAAAGGACTGGTGGAGAATGCCACCTGCCCTCCCCACAGCATGGCCCCATCCAGCATGCTTCAGGACAGTGTGATGCCAGAGTGTGAAGGGCCTGGCTTCCAGCAGCTCCTAGGGAAGGGGCTCCAAAACAGAAGAAACAGAGATGGGTCAGAGCCAGTCCTGGAACACAAACACCAGTATATTTTGTGTGCATGAATGTGAAAAGAAAGAGACAAAGAGACCAACGGAGACAGAGCAGGCCGTGGGTGCACAAACCAGGCATGTATCCTTCTGAAGAGCTGCCATAGCTGGGAGACAGTCCCACCCGCCTCAAAGGCCCTTTTGTAGAGCAGGGACCTGCCGCTCCTCCAGGCCTGGGGTGGCCTCAGAGTGGAAGGTGCTTTCCCTGCCTTAGCCATAAGTCCTCCAGGCCTGAGCCTCCCAATTTTCTGCATCCTCTGTGGTGATGTCTGCATAGCCCAGAGCTCTATAAATACAGGTTCTCCTAACTGACCCACTCAGTGGCTGTCTCCCCAGGAGACCCATGCAGAAAGCGAGGGACCAGGACGAAAGGACTTCATGGGCACTCCCTAGGTATTATTGCTGTGAATAAGCATAGACCATTGTGACTCACTGGTATCGGAGGGGACACAGCACAAGGGACAGGATGCCTAGCAGATGTCAGAAGCGATTCAACCATGCAGGGCAGCACATGGCGATCTGTGACTCAGAGATGCTGCCATGTCCTGTGGAGAGAGGCCCAGGACACCAGAGGTTCATAAAAAGTGAGCAGATTCTCTGCTTTGCAGGGCTGGGATTACTCCAAACTTTGAGTCCTTGGGCACTATGGGGTTGGGGCCCTGAAGACACACAGATCCTGTGGTCAAGCTCCAGGTCATCACCTCCCTTTGCTAGGGGCTCTGTCCCCTACGAGGGAGAATAGGAGCCTCAGGGCCCCTGGATGAAGCAGAAGTACAGCGCTCTGCACGTTGCCAGGCAGGCAGGCAGGTTTCCTCGGGGACCTCTCGCACTTGGGACTTCTTTTAGGGCCCAGAGAGATAGTGCCAGGGAACAGACAGGGCAACCTCTGGAGCGGCCAGACCCAGGGGGCCACCCCGGCGCTTGCTCTGGCAGAGAATCATGGAGGCCTTGGGCTGGGAGACATCAACAAGCTGACCACCAGATTCTGTCGTGGAGGGGAGAGCAAAGGTGAGTAGTGTGGTCTAAGGGGCTTAGAGGGGTAGTGGGGTCCAGGAGACCGAGATAATGTGGATCAAGGGGAAAAGACTGAGGAAACAATTACTGACAGAACCGGGAACCAGACACTATTCTTCCTCTGGAATCCCCTCCACCTGTAGATGGAAAGCAATTGACCCCCACTGGAAGGCTGAACCCCTAGAAGCCCCAAAGCCCTGGAATTGGGGCCACAGTAAAATCAAAGGTAGGGTTAACCCCTGCAGAATGTAGGTCGTGCCTGGACTGGAGGAGCCTGCCCAGGACATAGAGGCTGGGGATTGCCCTTCAAACTGTCCTGGACAGGGTCACTGCAGAACACAACCCTGCCAAAGGCAGAGTCTCCCGGCCTTTCTCCCAATCCAGGACACCACCCCTGCCCACCCCCAGCATCCCCACCCTGGCCTGTGCCCTAGCTGGTGCTGTATGCACAGTCTAGGTGGAGCAGTACAGCAAGAAGAGGAGATTCTCTCCACAGGTGGTATTATCACTTTTAATGTTCTATAAAAAGGGAAAGGCTGATTTCTACCTAAGAGTCATAGTGTGGTCAAGAAGAGACCATGTACCATGGGAAAGGCTGCGTTCTGATGGACCCCTCCCCTCAGGAAGCGGGCAGAGCTGGAACTGGGCTGGAGTTAGGATTTCACCTGTCTACTGCCAGCAATGGACCTGTCACTGAGGAAGGCGGGGCAACCGAGATGACAATGCCCATGAGCACGGCAGGGTTAATACTGTTTAAGGAGCAAGCTCAGTGGGTCAGCCTTTCTGGGAGGGCTGAGGACGGGGTAGCCCTGAGGAGGTTTTGCTGCAGGGCTGGGGCTATGGCAGAACCAGAACTGACCCATTCCCACTACGGATGCTTCGAAGACCCTCCCAAAGCTGAAAGGCTCTCTCTTTCTCCCTCCCTCAGTCTCCATGACTCTCCACCACTGCATACCTGCTCCTCCACCACCCAGAAAGCTAGACTGCCCCGGCTGGTTTGAAAATAAACCAGTCAGGTACCTTTACTGCCCAACTTCCCCCCTTCACACTGATTTGTCTCTAGGTCCCCATCGTGGATCCATGGGGCCCAAGATGGCCTGACTGTGCGTTGGGGGTATCATTAGTTTTTAGCCACTGCAAGGAGGTGAGCACCAGGGGCCCTGCCACAACCCCCCAGACCGGGGGGCGGGGGTGGGGAGTCATAAGGGGGGACTTCTCAGGAATCGGGCCATCGACAATAGTGGAGGGAAGGCTGCAAGAGGGTGGGAGGGGTCTGCTCAGGGCTCTATCTCTGGCAGCTGCTGTGTTGCCTAGGGAGTTGTGGGTGGGGCAGGTGGGGTGCTTACATGGATAAAGGGGCTGCTAGTGGTAAAGGCTTTGAAAATAAGAGAAAAGGGGTAAATGCTGCCGAACACACAGGGATTGAAACCTCCAAAAGCCCAAGGTTGGTGGGAATCCAGCACCAGGGGGCGGGGGGAGCCCCCGAAGGCCAAGGGATCAGCGTGGGACCCTGGGGAAGGGGAAAGGAGCCAAGGGAAGACCTCCCAGCCCTTGCAGACCAGCACTCCTGCCCAGCAGCCTGCTGGCTGCCCAGTCTCTTCTTAGGCTGCAGCTCAGCAGGCCCCTGGGGGAGGTATTGGTTGCAAGCAAGCACCTGAATATTGCCTAATGGAACCAGCCGAAGCCCAATTAAACCAGGTGAGAGGGAGGCAGGTGGCCGCCGCAGCAGCCCAAAGCCTCCTCAGGCTTTGCCTCCCACCTTCTGCTCCATTCTCAATGTCCCTTAGTCAGGACAGGGCCTGCTGCTTCCAAAGTCACCCACGTAGTCCCGTCCCTGGGAGCCACAGGCCTCCCGCCCCTGAGCTGGGCTGAGATCCACGGACCCTACCCGAAGCGCCCCCGCCCCCAAGGCCTGACCACGCCCCCAACGCCCGCCCACGGTGGCGCCGGGGGCACGGTGGTGGGGGGGCTCCGTGTGCCCTACGGGGCAGGGCTTGTGCTGTACACAGGGGGCAACCCTACCAGCTTGGTACCCTTGTCCACAGGATCCATGAGAGCCTCCCAGCCCACCCCCCTCCCCCAGCTCAGTCAGTCTTGATGTGGCCGTTGGCCAGGGCCAGGGGGCCGCTGGGCTCCCCGGGCTCGGCGTTCTTGTCAAAGCGGAGGCGGAGGGTGTTGCGAATGATGAACTGCTCCATGATGAGGGCCCCGCAGAACCAGGGCACGGCGTACTCCAGGGTGATGAGGCCCATGAAGTCAAAGTCGAACTGGGAGTAGTCCCAGGGGCAGGCGTTGAACTGGCGCAGGATGAAGCCGGTGGTGAACTCCCACAGGTAGGTCCAGAGCGTGTAGATGAGGCAGCGCACCAGCAGCGGGCAGCGGCCGCGCAGGCGCAGGTACATGCGCTCCACGATGAGGATGGACGTGCCGTAGATGAAGAGCGCCCACACGCTCGTGACCCCCGGGAACTTCCAGTTAAAGTTCACCACGAATTCCCAGGCCGCCGTGAACATCACCTCGCAGAAGTAGCCATGGATGGCGTACAGGTACCAGCGGGACAGCGCCGTCAGGGGCTCGGCGGAAGCCATGGCGCTGACTGGGGCTGGCTGTTAGGGACGCAAAGGAGACACAAGTGAGGCAGGAGGCCCACAGACTTGCCCACCTCAAGTCTCTGGAGTGACCAGGCCGGAGGGCATTTCAAACCTGCCTCTACCTTTCTCTTTTAGTTACTCATCATACTCCTAACCCTATTCCATGTTCATTACTTTATTTCATATTCCTTACCTGAGCCAGGTAGGCATGAGAAATAAAAGGAGGAAAGCAAACAGCCCCACTGGCTTCCTCTGAGAAACGCTACTCAAGTGCTACTTGGAGAGAGGTGTCTACTACACACCCTATAATAACTTCTTAGGCTGACTGGTAGTCAGTGGAAGAGTACCCCCATTTCCAGGCTGCTTGCTAATTTTTCACTAGGCCCATCCACTGGGGTCCCCATCTCTTCCCCCACTTCTTCTCAAACTCAGGTGAGTTCCACATCACTCATACCTCAGGTGAGCTCTTTCTAAGCAGCCCCGTCACATGTGTCTTTTATGTGTGTGTATGTGAACATATACATAACATAAAAGTTACCATTTTAACTGTTTTAAAGTATACACTGAAGTGATATTAAGTACATTCTCATTGTTGTGCAGCCATCACCACCATCCATCTCCAAAATGTTTTCATCATCCCAAACTGAAACTCCGAACTCATTAAACACTGTCTATCTCCCCACCCCCTCTCCAGCCCGTGGCAACCACTATTCTACTTTGTCTCTATGAACTTGACAACTCTAGGTGTCTCGTTTAAGTGGAGTCATGCAGTATTTGTCCTGTTGTGACTGGCTTATGTCACTGAGCCTAACGTCTTCATGCTGTAGCATGTGTCAGAATTTTCTTCCCTTTTTAAGGCTAAATAATATTCTATTGTGATCTACCTAGATATATTTTGTGTATCAATTCATCCATGAATGGGTGTTTCCACCTTTTGGCTATTGTGAATAATGCTGCTCTGAACATGGGTGTACAAATATCTGTTCGAGTCCCTGCTTTCAGTTCTTTGGGGTGTTTACCCAGAAGTGGAATTGCTGGATCATGTGGTAATTCTGTTTTTATTCTCTGAGGAGCGGCCTTGCTCTTTTCCACAGCAGCTGTACCGTATTACATTCGCACCAGCAATGCACAAGGGTTCCAATTTCTCCATATCCTTGCCAGCACTTGTTTTCTGGTTTCGTGATGATGGCCGTTCTAATGGGTGTGAAGTGGTTGCTTATTGTGGTCGCATTTGTTTTTAACAACTGCTCCATTAAGTGGGGTTTTGGTGTTTAGTTTCGATATTGAGAGGAAACCAGTGGGCTGACAGAGGAGAGAGTCCTCCCCTTTACTTCTCATTCCCTTCCGATCCTCTCTTTTAAACCCCACTGGCCTTCAAGGCCCCATCATGCTTCTCCGAAGACTGGCCTGGCCCTCCACCAGTGACTGTGTGGACCACTCATTTGACCCTTTACTCAATGCCACCCCTAGTTACTATCCAACCAGCCTGTGTACTCCTTGATGGCAGCAGCTGTCTCCCGGTCCTCTGTTCTGTGGCCTTGGTACAGTCCTCCCCTGAGCAGGCGTTCTCTAAATGACACGTCATTTATGTGGAGGGTGGGGTGGGAGAGTCCAGGGTTATACCAAGAACGGGCAGGCAGAGCAGGAGAACATGAACCCCAGCTGCCAGTGGACTCCAGGCTGACACCTCTGGCAGTCCTCTCTCCGAGGTGGCAGAAGGGACAGAGGTTAACAAGATGACGTTTGCAGGCTGCCCACCTGTCTGGGAATCCCAGCCTTACGTTTCAGCTAAAGCAGACCTAGTCACAATACTGCCTACCCATGCACATTGATTGGTGGTCTTCCAATCACTTTAATTCACATTTTGTCATTGGTTCTTACTAAATTAAGACTCGTGTGAAGGGCAGGTAGTTTGACTTCCATTCTCTAAGAGAGGTAGTCGAAGCTCAGAGAGAAGTCATTTGCCCCATATCCCAGGGCCACTGAATGGAAGAGGTGAGACTAGAATCCGTACCTTTTGATTTTGACTTCAAAACTCATCATACTTCAGCCATCTCCTAGACATGCGTGCCTAATGTCACTCCCCTGCTCAAAAACATTCAATGGTTCCCCATTTTCTAATGAAACGCTGCAGTGTCCTTGGCCTGGCATTCAAGACTCTCTCTGATCTCACTCCAATCTACTTTTTCAGCCTAATTCTCACAGTCCAGCCTCTCCGCGTCTTACCACCATCCCATCTATTGTGTTTTATGTGCCTTTCTCCTCTTGCCTCCACAAGTACAAACCCAGCTTACAGGTTACCTTCAGAACAAAATCTTTTTCATCCTCCCAACCACAAATCCTTTCTTCCTCCCCTGAATATCCACAGCATGTACTCTGTCTCTCTTTGGTACAGATGATTTTGTTTCACTGTTGATGACTTTCAGTCCCCAGCCAAACAGCTTTCCTGTGTTCTACACCTATTTACCCCACTCCTTCCCGAACACCTCCACCTAAGTGTCGCTTAGGCACCTCATACTCCTTTCCCAAATCAAACTCATTATCTTCCCTCCCAATATCTCCTATGACCCCCATCTTTTTTTCTCTTTTATTTTTTGGAAATTAGAACACTTTGTGCAACGTTTTGGTCCACTCTTAGCTTCTTTTTTCTTTTTAAATTATGCAATTAAAGGAGCACCCAGCACACAACTCGACACAGAGAGTGTGGGAGGACCGGCCGGTGATAGGAGCCCAGGCCTCTGGCCTCAGGCTCGAGCTCCCCTCGCTGCTCCGGCCATGGCACCGAACAGCAGCCCCTCAGGGCCCGGGAGGGTGAAGGGGGAAGGCAGTTCCAGCCCCAGCAGCTTTCCCGTCCCTACTGGTACCCGACTGTCAGCGCGTCTTGTCCCACACCTGTGGCCGGGAGGGGACCGCTTGTCCTCTGTCCAGCAGAAGGGCTGGTCACCTTCCCTTGCTGCGAGGCGAGTACGGAGGGCCTCCCGCTGGAGGTGCCGCCTCAGGCCAGGTCACCCAGGTCCACCTCAGGGATCGCATGACCCCCCCCCATCTTTTTTTTTTAAATGTTGCCTTCACAAAGGAGGTAAAGCCTGGGCTGTGTGTGTTATTTTTTTTTTAAAGATGTTGGAGGTAGGAGTTTATTAATTAATTAATTTATTTTTGCTGTGTTGGGTCTTTGTTTCTGTGCGAGGGCTTTCTCTAGTTGTGGCAAGTGGGGGCCACTCTTCATCGTGGTGTGCGGGCCTCTCACTATCGCAGCCTCTCTTGCTGCGGAGCACAGGCTCCAGACGCGCAGGCTCAGTAGTTGTGGCTCATGGGCCTAGTTGCTCCGCAGCATGTGGGATCCTCCCAGACCAGGGCTCGAACCCGTGTCCCCTGCATTAGCAGGCAGATTCTCAACCACTGCGCCACCAGGGAAGCCCTGACCCCCATCTTGATTAATGGTACCACCATGCACCCACTTAGCAGAGAGAGGTCATTCTTGCTTCCTCTGCCACTTCCCCCTTTTAACCTGAATTCCCTGAAAGTAAGGACTTTGATTCAGCACTGCATCCCCAGGTGCCTAGAATAGTGCCTCGCACACAGTAAGCATTCAGTTCAAGAGTGAAGACATTCTTGGGACTTCCCTGGTGGTCCAGTGGTTGAGTCAGTCTTGCTGTGCAGGGGACACTGGTTCGATCCCTGGTCGGGCAACTAAGCCCATATGCGCAACAAAGAGCCCATGCACCGCAACGAAAGATGCTGTGAGTGTCACAACTGAGACCCAGCGCAGCCAATAAATAAATATATATATTTTTTAAAAAAGAATGAAGACATTCCTATCACTCAGCAATTGCTACATAACAAATCATCCCCAAACTCAATGGCTTAAATAAACTCTCATTTATTATTACAACTCACGTGCCTATGGGTTGGCAGATCTTGGCTGGCCTCAGTCACAGGCTGTGAGTCATCTGGGGGCTCTGTCCTATGCTTGGCTGGGATGGCTCCGCTCCACTTGCCACTTGTCCTTCTTCTGGGCCTAGGGGACTAGCCCTGGCAAGGTCTTCTCATGGCAAGGGCGGAGGCCCAAGAGCGAGCAACACAACTGCACCGGTGCTTCTCAATACTAGTTAAGTTGTTAAGTCACACCCACTAACATCTTGTTGGCCCAAGCAAGTCACATGGCAAAGCCACCAAGTCAGCCATTAACTCCTATCCTTTCTACCTCTTAAACATCTTTGAAATCTATCTCCTCCTTGTCATTCCTGTTTCTCAT